ATGCAAAGCTCTTTGTCCGAAAAAAAAAGTAATAATTTACGAGCCCGGCCAGAAGCTGCACAAAGTTTGACCACATTCAAAGTATCTGTGTGGTCCGAGTGTAATGATGTCCGATGTATATATGTAAGCGAGTTTCATTCATTGTCACCGGCTGATATGATTTCCTTTAAAAAGACAGTGAGTGGGCTTCTATTTATTCCTTTTTCAAGCTATAAAGCTTTAACTTTTCTGCAACTTGTTCTTTTGGTATATATAAATACAAATTTATCAAGTCGAGCCATGCTCGGCAATGAAACCTTTGATCCTACAACTGATACCAAGACAGAGTAGCACCTTACCGTGCCTCTCAAAAAAAAAAAGGAAACTGCTTCAATATTTTACTAATCCGTGAAATATTCCCGACGAGCGTACAATTCTTGGTCAGTATAGGTTGCTGAGAGCAAAGTTTGCCAGGATTTTGCGCACGTAACGCCACAGCAACAGCGTGAGTACATGTGTACGGACATACGGATATGTATACGCACATCCGCGTATAGAAACACAGTCGCCGTCTTGTGTTACTCAGTGTCCCTCGCAGCTCACGTGTTTCGTGGAGTAAGCGCGTGGAAAGGCTGCGAACGGATGTGCGGCGCGGAGCTCGTGATTCGAGTCGCCTTCAGCTCTGTTGCGTCTATCCGCTGAAACGAGAGAAGGCGCGTCTTTCGAGATCATCCGCACCGCGGCAGCCGCCGTGGACGACATGCATAAAGGAGGCCTGAAGGGTCGACGCAGCAACTGCGAACATTCGTCCCGGGAAAGCTGTGTGTACGTCGAGAAGTTTCAACACGAGCGGGTTTCCGTTTGTCACGGGTCGAACGGATGCTCTTTCTGGACCGTCCCGACAGTTTCTCTATTCTCGCGAGCTGACACTGCTGACACGCTGATTTATACGTTGCCTGGCTCTGCCGACGTGGCTGGGCGTGAAACATGGCCCGACACTTTTCGCCATTCATTCCAGACATCGTGGCTCTTCATATAGTAAAAAATTTACGCGGTCGGCCCGACAGGTGCTGCGCCGGCTCGATACTGGCCCTCCCCGAGCGACGGCGGTGGTCCGCGGTTTCCCCGCAGCAATTTATACGCGAAAAATGATCGCACCATCAACAACGAAAAACAAGCGGAAAAAAAAAGAAAAACATGGATGCTAGCCACAGCTCCACTCTATATGGCCAGTCCTGAATCGTCCTATTTCTCAAGGTTGGCACATCACCTCCCCTTTTACTTTTTGGCGCCCAAGTACCGTCCGCTTTTCTTTTTCTCTCCTGATCGGCGCGGGTGGCGTAAATTGCAGCCGCGTCTTCTCACTTGGCGTAAATTAAGTTAGGAAGCGAACGAGCGGAGAGAAACAAACCGCGGGTACGTGCAGCACGTGGGCAGATAAATAGACGCCACCGATCATCTCCTGCGCGAACAGCTCAATCTCTCCGCGCTACCTCATTACGGGAAGTTTCCGGGCCAGCGGCGGCGCGCACGCAATTGCCGCTGCGGTTCACTTTTGTTCGCCGCCGCCGACTCGCCAGCTTGAGTTTTTTTCTTCTTACGTTCAGCCCGCTTACCCTCCTCACTTTGTGCGGCTGAGATGTGGGTGCAAGGAGCCCCTCCCACTGCACCCCTCTGGCGTGGACTCCTCGCGGCCGCGCACCTTGGCCGTAGCGAAGGCCGCTACTCGCAAGGTGCGCTCACATGTCGGCGGCGTGCGTCAGACACTGCCACTTCTTGGAAGATTAGGGGCCGTCGCTAGAAGTACTGATCTTCTTTTGCAGCAGCCCCTCGTTTGTCCGTGGTTGCGTTGCACCCCTTCGAACCCACCGACCGTCTGTCGGCACGCTTATAAAACTGTTGACGTCTTACTTTGCTCGCAGAGGCTTCACTGAGACGAATGCCGTCGTTTTCGCAGTCGTGTCCGTTACGCACGTCGAATATTCTGCGCGTGCTTACATCGAGCTCAGCTGCGACGAGCAGGCCTGTCTTTCACGGTTAAAACCCCTTCATGTTTGAAAGCCCGTGTGACCAGTCGCACGCGCGCATTTGTGTATGTGTGGAGGGGGGGGGGGGGGGTCTTGTTTAGCCCTACACCAAGTCAAGTGTCACTTCGTGTCTCGCGCATTAAGTTATAATTATCACGTCACTGGTATTGGCGTACTATAGATTGATAAAAACAGCCGAGAGATTCTTAAGAGAGAGTGAAGCCACGCGAGAAAATATAACTCGAGCGAATGGATCACCAGACCCCAAAAAAAAAAAAGGAAGGAAGAACGTACGCGCGGGAGACAAACTACTGTAGCAACGCTGCTTACAGCCAGGCCGACAAAGAATGGCCGAGCCCTTGAATCTCTTTGTGTCCCAAGCGCTGAGTGGCATCGCGGGTCATTGTGGACAAAGAGGCAAGCTTTGCGGAGGTCCGCGATTGTAAAGACAGTGGCCGGAGGTACGCACGCGACGCCGCGCTCGGCAGGCTGCAGGGGCGAAGAGGTGCTGCGCCCTATCTGTCCGCTGCATCTGGCCGCGACCTCCCTGGCGCGCGAGCGTTGCAGCGTCCGAAAAGACAGACGGGGGGCAGAGACGACCCCCGATGGTGAGCGCGCGCGTGCGTGGCACCGAGCCGGCCACGCGGGCGACACTTGTGACCCCTGCTGCACCACCACCCACCCCCCACTCCGAGCGCAGGACGCGCCCAGCAGAGACCACCTTCGCCGAGACGCTCCAGCACTGGAGGGCCACGAAGTAAGAGACAGTGCAAAAACAAAGTCGTAAAAGTGCCCACGCGTGGTGGGCTCTTGCCTTCGCTGCTGGCCCAAGCCAGGACGGCCGCCCTGCGGCTGCCGGACACGGGCCGGCAGCGCAATCTCTCCGTCCGAAGAGATGCCGATAAGGTGCCAAAGCGCTGGCTGAATGGACCGCCCGTCCGACCGCTGCGGATGCGGTTTTTCACGTTCCTCGTCACTAGCCGAGTTTGTTTTTAGCAGGCGCACACTCGACCTGAGTACTTTCCACGAGATTATACTCTAAACGTGGGGATCCACCTTTCTCTCTTTCCGGTGACTCGGAAGCTTGGAATTTCGTGTCAAGCACTTCGTTTCCTTCGGGCGTATATTTCATTTTCGCGTTACCTGGCAAGCCTCCCCTGCTATTTATCGCTCTCTTCATTGAAGTTTTTCTTCAAACAGCACAGACAGACGCAACAAGCTCCTTAAAGGCGCGCACAAATCGGGCTTCAGCTGCCATTCCATTAAGGCTTCCTCCGTATGTGTGTGGGTGCCCGCTGTGTGAAGTTTCCAAAAGCAGCAGGAGGTGCAAGCTGTTTAGGCTGAGTAGTGCCTTGTAGCTGCTATAGAAATGATGCTTGCAATAAAGAGCAGGTACGTCCCCCTCTTGTGGCGCAGAAGTTATGGGTTGAATGTATGTGCTACTACACTCTCAGAAGTAGCAGTTCTCACTTTTCATTTCTGAGAAGAAAAACATGATTGCTTGGTGATCTCAGAGATGAATACTTCATGTATTATTATGATTATTAGTATTTTTTATTTAAATGGCAAACATTTCTGTTGGAACCACTGTACATTATCAGAATAACGTATACTATAGCGTGGCTGTGTGTCGGCTTTCTTTAAAAGCGAAGGCAGAATCGGATTTTGTAGTTTATCAAAAGAACGCGTACTGTGGGACGGATCGCAGGCTTTTCTTTTATTTTCATTTTGCTCAAAGAAGAAATGAAAGGGCACGAATGACGATGGATTTTGTTACTCAAGGCACTTTTCGGGGGAAGATGGTGGGATGGAGCATAGTTCACGTCTATAAATTGCACCTTTAAAATTTTCAGTGTCACGCAACTTAATCTGTATGCTTTAGGAGGTGTACTGCAGCGCGTCTAGTTTCCGGTCAGCGGATCTCGAGGACCTTATCTGTGGTCGGCGATTTGAAGCGAGGGCACTATGGAAAACTAGCTTGGCGTGTTGTCTCTCATTTAATGGCACTCACGTGCGCAGCTCACGCGACTTGGTCGAGCCATTCATGAGCTAGCTCTGCCACCTTCGGAATGCACAGCCGTGCCACAAAGGGCTGGCGCACCGGCGCAGTGGGCTCGTCGATGAAGACGTCCGGACCTGTTGCGGAGACCGCGGCGGGGGGGTATTTCGAGGAATCCGGCCTGGATCGCCCTTTGTGCGCAGGGTCACCCAGCGGCCCGCTCTATTGAGTTGTCAGCTCGGATGAGCAAACGGCCAAGCAAGCGGGCGCCGCAAGGAAGGGGGAGGGGCGACGGCGCCCAACTGGGTGGAGCACACACGCGGCGCTTGATTTAGACAAGGCTCGCGAAACGACGCATTCTCGCCCTCTCCGTGACGGAAAGAAGGGCCACCTTGGGTCCCGAAAATCCGGCACCGACCGATGGGGCTGACAAAACGGCCCCGCCAGACGCCGACGAGTTCTGGGAAGAGAGCCCCTGGCAGCGTGGTTTATTTTTCCCGATCGCGGGTGGGTGGCGGCGGAGAGGTCACGGTTGGGGGAGGCAGCTTTATGGAGCACCGCTGCCGCGGTCCCCCGCTACCATTGTGCGGACTTCCTCCTTTTCCGACGCCGGTTATTAAACGCGCGACCCCCCGTGGAGCGCGTCTGGGATGCGCTCACATCTCGGCGGGCGGCCACGTACGCCCGTGCGTGCTGCTGGCAAGGGTTCGCCCGTATACAGGGTGCGCGTAATTGGGTGTCGTCTGCCTTGCCACATCGAGACGTGTGTTACTTATTGCATGCCACACTGCTCACGGATGCCTTCTGCAAAGTGCACCTGAACTTGCCCGAGTGATGCCCGTTTTTCTCCTGGCGTTATTGAAGCGCTGCTTGCCTAAGTGCCACTCGGGAAGATGAGGCATGTGTGAAGGCGGCAGACACGTGCTGTCGCGCCGGGCGTGTCCCCGGGCTCTGACGCGCGCCTTTCTTGTCCCCAGGGGCAGCCCCGGGCGGCGGCACGCCCTCGTCGTGGCGCTCTTCGTCCGGCAGCCCCGAGGACGAGCTGACGTCGGCGTCACTGTCGCCACCGCCCTCGCTGCTGGCCGGAGGCCCGGCGTCGGCCTCCTGCTCCGACTCCGAGCTGTCCTTCACCATCGGTGTCACTGAGGCGACGCCCTATGCCTGCCACTTCTGCGACAAGGCTTTTCCCAGGCTCAGCTACCTCAAGCGACACGAACAGGTACGCAAAAGACATGGTTCTAAATTGCACATCCTACCGCGCACCGAATGCTGCCCTGTATATAGAATACGCCACTAATAAGCCACATGAATGCATCGTTCTAAACAACCAGCATCGAATGAATGCTCTCCTTTATGTCACGCTGTTTGATGGGTCACTTCGACCGCCTGCTTCGCTCGCGCTATGCATGCGCTCTAACAACGCTCGCTTTTATTAGCTATTTGCCTCGGGAATTTCTGGCGCACTGTGCGTTGTATACAGAATTTTCGTGGGAGCTGCCCAAGTCCTTTCTGCCGTTCGTTGACAATTGTCTCGCGCCGAGGCTCGCCCACCACAGAACGGGTCGTTCGGGAGAGTGCCAGGCCTATAAAAAAGGCTATAAATCTTTGACGAGAGGGGCCGTCCTTCGCCCGCTCAGCACCGAGGCATAAAGCGGCTCCCTGCAATGCAGCGTGCCACGAGGAGACGTTGACCAGACCCCACTCCCTCGAGAGCAAGATCGAGTCCCTGCCCGCAATGCGGTTACCCGATCCACATTAACGTGCTTACGCCTAATCCAGGGCCAGCGAGTATCATGGCCGTTAGACCTGGTGCCACACAACGGAAGAAAAACGGAGAGAATGGCGCCGAGGTGCGACAACGCAATTTAGATCATCTAATTTGAGGCATCCCCGGCTTGGCCTTGCAGCCGGCCAAAGTGGATTAGCGTCGGCCGGTTACCTCTGGGGTAGTATACTCGCTGTCCGGCGTCGGTCTCCCATTCGGCCTGTTTATTTGGTTGGCCCACTAATGGGCGCCAACTCGACGTCAATCGTGACTGCCTACAGCCGAGGCGGATTGGAGGACACCGTTGATCTGACCGTCCAGAGAAGCGCGCATGTCCACTTACGGGCTTACGCGAGCGCAAATGAGCTTCTGTGCGAGGGCGCCAATGCGTAACAAGCGAAGACTAACTACGGTGCCGCAATTGTCTTAATGCTAGGTCAGCACAGGCAGCGAAACATGCCCATCCGCGCTAATGGACAACGCACTCGCATGGCTGCGTAGACACACTTTTCGTCTTCCTATAGAGTGGTCTCATGGTGCAGCACGAGTGTAGATATTTGCATGCGCGCGTGTGTGTGTGTAAGAGAGATGTTCGTTGACATGCATTCACGCCAGCTTTAAGTATTGAAAAACCAGCACCTTGTCACTGAAGAATCCATCAACACAACAAATTCAGCGAGTTGATAACAATTTTGACGTATATGTACAGTACAACATGAATGAGGGTCGAATGGTGGAGGACTCGATCTCTCAAGTGACAAGGGAAATTTTATTGCAGTAAGTCAGAACGGACGCTTGATTCTGTGATGGGCACCAGATAAGCAAGAATGTAGGGAAGTCAGGTATATTAAAACAATTTTCTTTCTGATACAATGAAATACACGCTTGACTATAACACAGGAGGTGGACATATGTGCGTGTGAAGCGATTTTATATACTCTTTCTCGGTTTGTATCACTTCCGTTCTTTTTTTTTTTGTATAGCACTGTGGTTTGTTGGAACAGGTGGTCGCATTGGCAGCGCCTGCACTGTGCGATGAAATTCGAGCTTATAGTAATTCTGGGCAGCATGCATGGTGCTCTTTCACACAAATAATTAAGCAGCGAGAACATGCATGCTTCCTTCAGGAGTTCGTTCGGCAAGAATTAGCACTCGCAATACCGATTCAAAAATCTTTTTTTTTTCCTGTCTGCATTTTAGCTGGAGCTCCTAACATCTCATACACATCGATATTTCATAGGTGATGATAGAGAGATGAAAATTCTCACCGATAATCATTAGGATATTTGCTTGCTGAATTTACATTTTCAAAAAGAAATTTCAGATCGTCCATGGGAAGGCGCTTTGATGGAACTCGACGGCACTAGTAATAAGTATATAGACTGCAACCAACGGTGTAGACACTAAGGAGTTTCCGAAAAAGGTCCCCTATTATTTTGGGGCCCCAAAGATATAGCGTCGAGGCCACTGCGCATGCGCGAGACCCAAACAGCGTTTGGGTTTTGCGTCGGGGACGCTATTTCCTGAATTGAGCCGGAGCCCCAAAAGCTTTGCCTCAAACAAACACGACGGCACCGCTGAAGCGACGGCTCTTGGCCAAGAAGACCAGGGAGAGTGTCCAAAGCACCGCAGACCCTATTAAGTCCAAAACTCTTAGTTCTTGCTTGACCCTAGGCGAGCACATGCAAAGAGCTTTGAGGGCCCAAACTTTCCGGGCCCCCATGCAAAAACTGTTTCGTTAAAATATTTCGAGGGATACATGCGGATTATAAGCGCCGTAACTTAATGGGCTTGAACAACCTATTCTTCCCGATAAGCGTGCAAGGTATGCAAGGTAGCGTTGGTTCTTGCATTCGACTGTCGAGGTTAAACACATACAAGTAGGCCTGACAAGAAGGCTTCTGACACCTCGTGTATATATGTACAAGATTTATTGATATCTTTCGCCCCGTCGCGGTGGTCTAGTGGCTAAGGTACTCGGCTGATAACCTGCAGGTCGCGGGATCGAATCCCGGCTGCGGCGGCTGCATTTTCGATGGAGGCGGAAATGTTGTAGGCCCGTGTGCTCAGATTTGGGTGCACGTTAAAGACCCCCAGGTGGTCGAAATTTCCGGAGTCCTCCACTACGGCGTCTCGCATAATCATATGGTGGCTTTGGGACGTTAAACCCCACAAATCAATCAATCAAGTGATATCTTTCACGGGACGTCACGGACGCGCAGTATTTCTCCAACATGTCCACTTAATGACGTCAAAGCACTACATAGTCACGCGATAATCAACCTGATTCAGTGTGATGACGCCTTTGCTGGAACCTTATTCGGCCTTTGTGCATGAATATCGAAATGTGTATGCGTTGTGCGAAGTTCGCGTTTCAGCATGTTGGTGCTAATACGTGGCTGCTTCAGTGACGTCATTGCAAGTCATCTATAAGTTTGCACGGTGCCCTTTGGCAACCTACTGTGAGGCGATCATCGGGACGTCGAATGTGCCTACTTGTGATTCGCAGGTGCACAGCGATCGGATGCCATTTCGGTGCGACTTCTGCCAGCGGCTGTTCAAGCACAAACGCAGTCGCGACCGGCACGTGAAGCTGCACACGGGCGACCGAAAGTACCGGTGTTCGCAGTGCGAGGCGGCCTTCTCGCGCTCCGACCACCTCAAGATCCACATGAAGACCCACGACCATGCCAAGCCGTTCCAGTGCGCTATGTGCAACCGCGGCTACAACACGGCGGCAGCCCTCACCTCGCACATGCAGAACCACCGCAAGAGCGCCGCTGCGGCTGCAGTGACCAATGGCCTCGAGCCGTCGGCCACACTATCCCGGCCCGGCTCGAGTCTGGCATCGGCCAATGGAACGAACATGCTCGCTGCGGTGGGCAATCCGACCGACGGTGGTTCGGTGAGTATACGCCATACACTAAAACGCTTTGATTTCTCCTTAAAGAAAGTACACCCGTTGTACCACAGAAGGAAGAATAAAGAAAACTAATTCTGGCAATCTCTCAAGTATTAGTAGTAGTAGTAACTAGAAGGCCACCTAATAGGAATCACACGTCACATATGCTACGCTGCTTCACTTGCATGCAGATAGGGAATGTTTTTTTTTTTTTTTCAGGCATGCATGTTACGACACATACAGCCCAGGCTCTTAATTCGCAAAAAAAGACGCTCTTGCTCTCCCTTTGTAATAGCAGTTGACATGCATTTGTAATTTTCATGAACGAGGGCAAGCAGCACGCACCAGAGAAAATTTACGCAAATTCAGCTACAGTTAGCACAACGAGTGTTTGCTCCCTGGCATTCCATCATGGCATCGCTTGGAATTTCTTTTCACTGAAACCTGAAATGTAAAAAAAAAATAAACATGATAGAAACACAAAATCTGCAACCCTAAATAGTGCAACCGTATATGCGTGTGCATGTGTGGCCCTTCTCATAAAGCTCTAACGCCCATACCCGCCTTGTTGCAGACGTCCATGTCCCGGGACGATAGTTCCTCGTGCTCGACTGACAAGCTGAGCCTACCCGGTGGCAGCCCTGGTCCGGGCAACGTTGAAGTCCAAGCAAATGGATACAAATCTGTGAGTACGCGCACCATTTCCACCGAGTCATGTTGTATGGCTATAGGGGTATACACCTGTCATTCAACAGTTTCGTTCGCGCATGCGCCGAGTCCTCCCTAGACTGCCGAAGAAAACCCCCCAAATTAAATAAATGTGTGAGAAATGTGCCCTTGCTGGCAGCATTTGCATGTTGTACGCGACAACGTTATAGTCGAGGGTTTATATTGGGTATGCTTGCACTCATGGGAATATTGTGGGCTAAAAAGGAGCGGTTTTCTCAAATTAAAAAAAATGGTCACGCTCTTGAATACAACGTTTGTCGGCACAAATTACAGGCTGAGGATATATCGGTTTAAGCAACACATAGTAACATAAGAACTCACATTTCTCGATGTAAGTTAATCATATTATGAATATAACACATACACACGTTACCGTATACGCCGAATAATGATTCAACCTCATTCTCGCAATTTTACAATGTTCCCATCAGGTACGGTGCTTGTGACAACTCTAATTTCGCGTTTAGTCCAAACGGACCTAAATAAAGTTTTTGCATTCCATTCCATTCCAAACGGACCTATGCGTGGTGTCTGAGCACTTACGTCGTATTCTTCCACTCACACCCAGGGCGTTTTATTGCTACTGCGAAGCCAGGAGAAATTGATGTTTCGTCGCTGCGAACAATCGCGCTGGAACATCAAATGACGACAAGCGAATCATTTAAGTACCTCACATCCAGGCACTGTCGAATGTGACGTATGCGCAGTAAAACAGAATACGCAGGCAAAAAGCTCGTGCTGACTTCACATTGGAGTCAATTCGCGTCGCCCTATCCGTGTAATTCATAGGGGCTGCCGCGACGTCCACGCAGAGTCTATATATACGGTGGATTTCGGTGAATGTAGTTTCGTGTATGAAACCTGAGCCTCGCGATTTGAAGGTGGACGCACTATTCCTCTTCCTTTGTCGAAAGAGAAAATCTGTTGTCCATCTATTCCCAGCGGGAAACGAAACAAACAAAAAGTACTGGGGTCCGGGGTCCGTATCCAACAGTTCGGTTGTGTTTGACTGCACACTATCACACCGGGAGTGGGAGGATGACTCGTATTTGCATGCGACGATGCACGTTGTGTATAGCAGGAAAGCAACGTTACAAAGAGAGATAGAAGCTTGGGCTTTTCTTCCCGGATCGAAATGAATAGCGGGGCTAGGCACATACGACGGCGAGCTTTGTTTGCCTGGTCGAAGGTACTGTGCTGCCTTTCCTTCTTTCTTTCTTTCTTTCTTTCTTTCTTTCTTTCTTTCTTTCTTTCTTTCTTTCTTTCTTTCTTTCTTTCTTTCTTTCTCTCTTTCTTTCTTTCTTTCTTTCTTTCCTTTTTGTTTTCTTTCTTTCTTTCTTTCTTTCTTTCTTTGTTGGAGACGGGAAGAGGAATGTGCCCGAGCGGATCTTCTCGTTTCATCCCTGGTCACTCGGGGTCATGCGGATTGTATCGAACGACTGTCTTCGTGTTACTTCCAGCTTCCCGCTCTGCGTATTCAAAATAAATTATTGTGCCACCATAAAGGAGAGTTTGTAATGCGATTTAAAAGAATCAAGTTTCAATATTGCAATGACCAAGGTTTATGTTCGCTTCTTCAATAAGAAAAAAAGTACCACTGTACTTTTTCTCTTCGAAAAAAAAAAGCCACTGCAGTGGCTTTTTTTTTTTTTTCGCCAATGTGTTCGAGAGGCTGACGATCTGCGTTTCGTTGCAGTTATCTGAGCGGGCTGGCAGCACGAGCCCCCGAGACCAAGGCGAGCCGCTGGCGTGTGGCTTCTGCAGCCGGAGTGACTTCAGCAGCTTGGAGTCCCTGCAGGCGCATGTGCGCGCCACGCATGTTCCTTTCTCGGCGGCTTCGCTGGTGGGGCCGTCACACGGAGGTCAACTGCGGCCGGAACCCAGCGGCCGCTCGGCGTCCCGCCATTCACCGCCGGCTGCCACCACGGCCTCGTCGTTGGTGGACGCATCGTACGAGTGCGAATACTGCGGCATGAAGCTGCCCAGCGTTCACGCCCTGCAGACTCATACGCTCGCCGCGCACAGCTTCAGCGAGGTGCTGAGCAAGCGTATGTCGGCCATGATGGGGGCCGACTCCGGCGGTGGGCCTCTGCTCTGCAGCCAGTGCGGCGCCGCGGCGGCAGACTTCGAGTCGTTTCGGGCGCACTTAGCGTCTCACCTGGAAGGACGGATGTCGCGTTGCTGCCCCGAGTGTCGCGCCGAATTCCCATCCTCGCAGCAGCTCGAAGCGCACGTCGCCGCGCACTTCCTGGCCACGTCAGTCGAGTACGGCTGTCAGGCTTGCCTAAAGCTCTTCCCGCGGCCTGACGAGCTTCAGAAGCACCTGCTTGACGTGCATGCCCACCACCTCTACCGCTGTGCACTCTGCCGGGACGTCTTCGATTCGAAAGTCGGAGTCCAGGTCCACTTCGCCGTCAAACATAGCAACGAGTGCCAAGTATTCAAGTGTAGTGCTTGCAACGCTGCCTACCGGTCTGAGCCAGAGTTCGCGCTTCACGTTCAAGTCACACATTTGGCTAAGGCTGCTCCCTACCGGTGCCTGCTGTGCGACCAGACATTTGCTAGTGAGCCCCTGCTGCAAAGCCACTTGGACACGCACGGCAAACAATTCGCGTGTGCCCTGTGCAGTCAAGCCTTTCACGTAGAGTTTTTGCTCGAGAAGCACATGCAAGCTTGCCACGCAGCCGACCTAACCTTGCACCCGGACGGAGTGCAGAATCTGAGCGTCAAGTCGAGGATCAAGGACAACAAGTGCGACATCTGTGACCAGTCGTTCGGAGCAGACTCCCTTCTCGCGGCGCACCGCAAGCAAGTGCACAACGTGCGTTCTTCGTCGCTGAAGTCGGTGAGCCTGCTGTGCGCGTACTGCAACGAACCGTGCAAGTCGCGCTCGGATCTGGAGAACCATATGAAGAGTCACACCGCGAGTCCCAGTAAGCACAAGTGCAACATCTGTGACGAGATGTGCCCCTCGGCGACCACGCTGGCCGAGCACAAGCTTACGCACTGCAAGGTCGTTAAGGGTTCCACGTGTGCCGGTTGCCGCGAGGTGCTCCGCTCCGAGGAGCAGTTTTTGACGCACGTCAACTCTCACGGCGGAGGTCCCGCGTTGCCACTGCCCTGCGTGGTGTGCCGCCAAACGCTCATGTCTCAGGTGGAACTGCGAATGCACGCTCGCTTCCACGTAGCCCACTGCGACAAGGGCTCTCTGTGCTGCGTCTGCGAGCGGCCCCTGGACGCCGCCAGCCGCATCATCACCGGCCGCCAGCAAGAGCGGCAGTCGTTTATGTGCAAGGACTGCTTCCACGCCAAGGGTGTCCAGGACCAAGGCCGCTGTCCCGAGTGCCGCATCAAGTTCGAGTCGCCACTCGAGCTCGAACAACACGTGCGCAGCAGCCACGGCGGCTGAGCAGCCCCTTCTCATTCATCACCGGTGTGCACATCGCAAACAATCAAACGCGCCCGCGGTCTTTCGGTTAACTTATTTTTCTTCCGTGGCGCGCCTCTCGTGTTTTTCCAGTCCTGGCTCGAGACAAATCGCAACACGTCTATTTAGAAAGTATACCTCCTAATATATCTGATCATATTGTCAAAACAAGAAAGGCGTGTGTGTGGTTTTCAAGCTGTTCTTACCTGAGTGCTTCTCTGGTGCATAATTTCACCAAAGTATGTAAATACAAGTTGTCCATATTCATCGCCATGTTTTTGTTTTATGTGTCGACATCTTAAAGCAGGGTATGAAACTGCATACATTTTAAGCTGCCGGTTGTTTTATGCCTTGGTATAATACTCTTCATGAAGCACGTTTGTAACAGTGAATACCCCACAGCCAAATATGAATAGTTTATTCATCCCAGTGTTTAATTATCTGTGTTTGTGTTTCGGAAGCATTCTTATGTTTCTTTACGCAAGTATACAATATCAACTAGTTTTTTATTTTTGATATTCCTTTTATTTTTACATTTTGCCTGTGTGTTTTGCGAGGTTCACGAGGCGAATAAAGTTGGTATTTTCAAGGGAGTCACGCACTTTGTTTCTAATTCATGCGCGAATAAGCATGCCTGCTCCCTGTCAACAGAGTTTGCAGAGGTTTTTCACCTCTCGCCGAAGGAGACATAACGACAAGACGTGCTATGTTTAAAGGTGGACCAACACCTGAATTATTTAAGATGAGTGGATTATCCCCACTTAGCTGAGATCACGGAACAGAAAGGGGCGTAGCGTTAATGAGTTGGTGTAAAGTAATTATTCGAGCTGTGTCTGCGAGTCTTAGCAACTCTTCGGAAGACAATGCATTGCTTGTACTTTAGTACAACGTCACGTGCTAGCAGACAATAACCCAGCTCCGCAGGCCAGCTGAGAACTCCGTCACTTCATCGTGCACGATGTCTCTCGGTGCCTTCTTTGTGCTTAAGAATGAGCGTCAAAGGCGGTTCTGTAGTACAAGGTGCATGACTGTGATTAGATACACCGTATGTAGTATGCCAATTTGAAAGTAATGTCCTATGAACTCATACACCTCAGACGCATGTAAGTATAGTCGTAACAAATCAGTGAGCCATAAATATACAAAGTGGTCTAAAGAAAAAAGGCCGCCCATGCATGGTCTCTGAAAAGCCCTTCACAAAAGCATGCATGGCTATGGGCGTGGTTCAGCACAGTCAAAATAGTAAGAAATTCGGCAATAAAGACACTATGTAGCCATGCAACACAAGGAAGCTTGATGCACAAGCCTGCTGTCACTAATGAGCAGTTTCATTTTGCAATGGTAGAGGAGTGTGAGAGCTACAAAAGCCAAGGTGATGGGCGTGCATGCGTGCTTATTTGCAAGCGAGCGAACGAGTGCTTGAGTTATCTTATTTTTCATGAACAATTTCACGTGTCACAGCGGATGCAGAAATGTTGGCCACTCAGGAAATCTAACTTACGTATAGTTGAATGATGAGAGGGTGAATGTTGGTGGTGTGCACATAGCATACACTTCAAAGCTATGTAGGCGAAAATTCTGTAGGCCCGTGTGCTCAGATTTGGGTCCATGCTAAAAACCCCAGGTGGTCGAAATTTCCGGAGCCCTCCACTATGGCGTCTCTCATAATCATGTGGTGGTTTTGGGACGTTAAACCCCACATATTATCATTATCATCACTTCAACGTTGGTCACACGTGACCATTATTTGATTACGCCTCAAAAACCATTTCACTGCCTTTGATGGTCATGGCAGGGTCAATAAAACATATTTGTAAAAGAAAATACTTAAAAAGAAAAACATGTAGGATAATCAGTGAGCAAAGATGCACTGCTACCACGAGCTACTGCAAACAGCACGTACATCGAGAGTATATATGAGAAGGTATGCGAAAGTATACGTTGCACATTCGCCTCTTCAATGAAAGGTGAGTAAACAATGGACAGGACAAACAGAACAATTGCAAGGTAAGCAGCAGCATATGTGACCGACAAGCGATAAAAGTAGTATAACCCAGAGGCCTAGAAGTTTGAGGGGCCACTTATGTGAGGGCATAGTTGGTTGTCAAAAGAGAAGTACGCACTGACGCTGACATGTGCTCGTGACTCAAGTCATGTAATGAACGCCACTTCTTTTAAAATTGAAACTGACAAGAAAAACATCGTATTTTGTCACTTCAATATGTATTCATTAGGTCAATCGGTTTCACAACTGTCACCTCAGTCATTATCAAGAAGTCACTTGTCATTGTCAGACTCGTCAAAGGCAACATCTAGTGTGTCTTTGTCACTTGAAGAACAGCAACCCTTCTGCAAACGCCATTTCTTTTTTGGATGGGTTGTGGCGGCAGTGTTGACTGTACTGCGCTCCTTTTTTTGCGACGGTTGTGTTAACCTCTTTGAACTTTTCTTCAATCGTATGCTTACTCAATGAACACGTAAAGACATTTTCGTCTTACTTTTTTTTTTTTCGCTGTGTAACGCAGTGTGGCAGAGGAACTGGACAGTTATTCAATTCTTCCCTCAACTTAAGTGTCCTATTCCTCCCAAACTACGTTTTCCAACGTAAAACAACGTTCAGCAGATAAAGATCAGTCGTAATGCCTAAATTTTTTTTTTGAAAAAGTACTGCTCTGATCGTGTTTTCGTAGAAATTTGTATTAACGCCCACAACGTGGTCTGAATCCGAGAGCGTTATAATCGCAACTCCATAAAACACTCCGTGTGCTGACAACACTGGTCGAAAAAACAAAGGTGGCTGCGCACATGTACCATCGTATCCTGGCTTCAAAAAAACTAACTTGGCCCGCGCGGGCGCTGTCATGAAGTGTCTTAACTGTAGCGTCGGATCGAGTTGCTTCATCGGAGGTGATTGGGTGCTGGCCGCCGACCAGCTCATTCTCATCGGCATGAATGATTTCACTGGTGAAACAGCGGAAATAGTTGCGCTGTACGTGCGTGCAAACATCAAACCTGTTCAGCGAACCACCTCAGATTTACTTCAAGGTCCCGAACCTGTCCAGTGCTCTAGGTTGAAGAAAGCCTCTGCTGATGTGCAATGGGCCTCTTCGAAAGGTGCAAGCACTTTTGGGCTGTGTTCCAACTGCTATTCTACAGGTAAGGCCTTCCAAGTTTTCGAGGTAACTGCGACTCGTGTTGCCGATTGCACGTAACTCCAAGAAGTTCTGCAGGTTGTCCCGTCAAAGCTGAATACGCATGCCGTTCACTTGATTACAGAACGGAACTATGCCATATATATATATATACGCGTGTCTTAACACGGTGGTTGAATTCCACCCCTTCCCAAAAATGCCAGTATTATTAAATTGAAACTACTAATAGTGGTGATAGTATCAATAACTTTAACAAAATCCTAACTGGTCAAAGTACACTAATACTTAGTTAACCTCGTTAGGTTTCCGGAATATCGAACGCTTATTCAGTAGAGTGGCGATCAACGCATTACTCGGAAACAAGCCTGTTTCAACATAAGTTGCGCTGCACTGTCTCAGAAAGAAACAATGCGATGCGCCAGCAAGTAGAACGCTCCAAAGGCTGCGGGAAAAATCACTTTTTGCAGTTTCTCTTGAATTTCTTGCAAGCTGACAAGCCTAAACTGGCAGCGCACCACGGTTAATGAGAACTCACTGCAGTAGCGTCTGTCGACACCACATGCAGAGCAAACGCAAGCATGAACACCGTACGTTTGTTCATAATGATATATTGCAACGAACAAATACAATTCCGGTAGCTAAAACAGCTATTTATTTTGGGTGATCTTTTGTCCGTCAACAAAATACACAGAGGCTGTACTGAGCTCGCTAGTGAAAACCTCGTCAACTTCTTATAGCGTCTCGCCGCGTGCCGCTCCTTCAGAATGTCGCCAGCCTTCTTTTTCCAGCACGTGCATGTTGTGGGGAAACGTGGAGTCCAGCGTTGCATGGCACGTTTTGCTTGGCGGGTTTTGTTTGTCAGTTGGTGCGGCGGAATTCATAAGAGCAGAAAGCGGCGCAAGACTTCAGCGGGTGTCTAACAACATGCGGCATTAGTCCTCCTACTTCAACGCATCGTCCCGATGCGTACACTGACGTCGAACAGTTTTGGAAAGTAGTATTCATTTGCTGCTTGAGCACATTTAGCAGTTGTATCGTTCAGTGACTCTTGTAGTACAGTTTTATTCGTACTACATGTACGACTTTTGGTTTATTCCTGCGTCGGGTTGAACACACGTGCACTTGACTTTCAGGAATTGATTCGTATATTTTAGGGTGCCTAACCAACGAAGTACTTTCTAAGGGCCAAAATAGCACCGCATCAGTTTTTCAGATAGGCCAGGTGCACGTACAGGTGTCCACACCCACATTTGTCTCCGGGGTTTGTACTGTACGTCTCTCTACTTTAAGTTATAGTGACTTGGGTCGGAGTCTTGTAAAATGATACGATGTCTTGCCAACTGCCGTGCCTCTTCTGCCCTTGCTATGTAGTCGCTGATGTCCGGGTCACTCTCATTCGAATCGTTGACAGGTAACATCGCGCCTTAGGTCGTGGTGACCATCCGACTATAAACAAGTTGAAATGGCGTGAAGTGTGTCGTTTCTTGGACTGCGGTATTGTATGCAAATGTAGCATAAGGCAAAATACTGTACTATGTCTGGTGTTCACGTCCACGTACATCGAGACCATGCCAGCGAGAGTTCTACTGAGTCTTTCGGTTAATCTGTTTGTTTGCGAATGGCATGCTGTAATCTTTCTATGGTCGGTATGGGTGAGTTTCATTACAGAGTGTATCAAGCTGGCAGTTAATGTTGTTCCTTTGTCAGTAATGACAACTTGTGGTGCGCCATGTCGTAGTACGATCTGAGTGACAAAAAAACTGGGCTACTTCATTCGCCATTCCTTTTACGAGAGGTGACGTCTCAGCATATCGAGTCATGTAGTCTGTTGCTACAACAATCCAGCGCTTCCCGATGAAGAAAGAGGAAATGGACCAACCAAATCCATTCCCACTTGCTGAAATGGCCTTTTTGGTGGCTCTCGGTTTAAACAAGACACACTGGTTTAGATTGTGGTATTTTGCGTCTTTGGCAATCCCGGCATGATTTGACATAATGGTGCACCAAATCCCTTGATTTCCGCCTATAATACTTCCGGCGGATTCTGGCAAAAGTGCAACTACTACCCATATGGCCAGTCGACGGGTCGTCATGACACGCTTCTAAGATTTCTGCTCGCAGTGATGATGGTACGAGAAGCAGAAACGTCTCGCCGCTCTTTCCGAAGTTGCGCTTGTATATGACGTCGTTCCGTAGGACATAGGAGGTCACTCTACGGACGAAATGTCGTGGTATCTTAATTTGATGACCCTCCAAGTATTAGATAAGCGGTTGTAGCTCCAGGTCCATTCGCTGATGGCGAGCCATCTCCGGCACACATAGAGCTCCAAGAAATGGGATGTCTTGTTCTTAGTCCGATGATGGAGACTCCACAGGTGCGCAAGACAGGCAATCAGCTTCGTTGTGCATGAGACCCGACTTGTAGACCACGGTGACGTCAT